TCTCTTCTCTCCTTTCTCTTTTCCTCTCTCTCTCTCTCTCTCTCTCTCTCTCTCTCTCTCTCTCTCTCTCTCTCTCTCTCTCTCGTTCCTTGGTAGAGTGCTGCGTTTTCAGTAAATTATAACTAAAATGTTGAAAATGATTTCAGAAAACGTTTTCTACGTTTTCTCAAACTCACCACTGAACGCAAATCTCAGTGTTTTCTGAGAATGAAAACAGAAAACGGTCTCTAAAAACATCACCGAATGGACCCTTAACTTTTTATTTTAATTTTTAGATAATTTGTAATTAGCAGATACATCATTATTAAGCAAAATTGTTTAAAGGCTTGGCTGTCATAATAAGTTACCCTTTGTGTCTTTTGGTGATCATTATAACATGCATGTGTTGTCTGTGGAAAGGTTAAACTCACAAACCACAAAAGTATTCAGCAAAAATAAAAAGAAAACAATATTTTTTGAGGCTCGAATTTAAAAATAAATTTTATTCAAGCACATTTGAGGTAAAGCCCATATTTTATGGTATGGTCGAGTACCAGGCCAAAATACATTTTGGTGTGTGATATTTAAATATCTATGTAATGGTGGTTACAAAAAGAATATTTATAATGGAGACATAATTCCGTTGAGGCAAAATTATAGAAAGAGATTTTCTAAATCCCCTTTCTAAATATAATACCAAAGTTAAATTAAACGTCCAAAAGGTACTGCTGCACTAAACACGAGTTGGGGAAATTATATTAAATTTTTGGTCACTACTGCAAGAGTGGCACCAGGTTGGATCCATAAACTTAATGAAACCAATGACGCAGGAATTTGGATAAAATGTCTAAGATTTAGACGGCAGGGAGAATTGACGAAAAATTGAGTTCATATTTTTTATTTTTTTCAAAAATTATGAGGTAAATTGAAAATTAGATACAAGTTCATGAAACATTTCACCAGTATAGCTAACAGATTGCGATGGTTAAACAATTCGAAGAGGTTGTGCACCCAAAGAAAACAAGACTAAGTCAAATTGTTGTTGGCCTAGAAGGAGCAGCCATGTCGTCCTCTGAGTATTCAGCCTATTACCTAGAAAGAGTAGGGTCAATTAATGGAAAGAGAAGCGTGGTAAAGTAAACGTTGAATTGAATGGAGGGAAAGTATATGGTGTATTTAGACACATGAAGGCAAATAGAGGAATGAAGATGGCGGTCTTTCATTCAAAATGAAATTCTTATCTACGAAAAGAAACAATGAATAGTGTTCAATTATTCAAAGTTGCCAAGCCGGCCGCTTCCTTCTCAAGTGATGAGAACAGGCATAAGGGGGTCAAGGAATCCCAATTACAGGCACCAGAAAATTTGGATACATGACTCGCCATTGTGTGAACAGCAAAGTTGCATGTGCGAGGACCAAAAGAGAAACAAATTGATGTGAACTGTTGACTAAGTATACGAATATCATGGAGGATCCGTTCTGCGTTGGCGTCAGGGCAACTTCCTTCACGAGGGGCGTCGATCAGGATTTTTGAGTCATGTAGGGCGTCAGCCATCCGTGTTGCACACCAGCTGCAGCACCTGCTCGAAGCGCCGCTGCCTCTTTGTGGTACATCTAATATAAGATAAAATGTATTGTTTGATCGACTATCGAATTTTAATCTTTAAATCTTTTGATTCAGTGGTTAAAAACTCAACAATGCACCATCGGATGTAGCACAAAAACTCGTATAAGAATACTTGTAACGCCTTGAATAAGGTTAATATTTAAATTGGACTAGGCAAATTGTTTACCAAATAAATAAGTCTAAGCAAACAAAGACAAAGATGAAAGGAAAATGAGAAAACTAAACGAAAGGGAAGCAGCCACCCCATGGGCTTCTTCAAAATTGATGGGCTTACCCCTACTTGGGTCTTGGGGCCGTAAAAGGGCCGAGGGTAATTACCTAGCAACGCTGTCGTTTTGCCATCTTGGACCGACATAACTCAGCCTAATGAAATTAGGGTTTCCGAGCGCAGGTCGAGACCCTATAAATTGAATCAAATCCTTCAACCCTCTCACCGTCTCACGCACCCTCTCTACCTCTTCATGGTAGCTTTTTTGATGTTGTTTCTTTTGCGTTTGCATACGTAGTATTAGCATTTAGGGTTTTAGTTTCGGCGTCGAAGAAACTGATATCGAGCTCCCTCTGAGTAAGAATGGGCTCTTCGTATGAGCCGACGCCACAGTTTTGTGTTTGATTTTTGGTTTTTCCGCTTTACTTTTGTTGTGATTGATATTGGAGGTTAGGGATTTGGGATTGAAGTGATGCTACTTTCCCCATATGATCGAAGCAGATTCAAACTTGCGCTATTTTTAATTTCCAAGCCAGAACTCTGATCTTTCCCAAATCCCAACAACTCATTGTTATCTGTTCTTCTTTTTGTTTCTTTGTCTTTTGAAATTTCAAATCTTTCTTCAGTTTGGGTTTTGAAATTTCTTGTTTTGGTGTTTTGAATGATTTTTATTTTTGAAATTGGAAAAAACCATAGAAAGAGAAGATGGAAGTGATGATTATTTCCCCAAATGATCGAAACTGAACAAACTGAGCGACTTACATCTCTGTATTACACAGAGACACCAAGCCAGGTGTTTCTGATCCATCTTCAAACTTGCTTTTGAAGTTTGAATTTTGAATTTTGGTGTTCATATAAATGATATATAGCTTTCAGATTCAAAGAATGCTCATATCTTTCTCCTTGAGAAGAAGCACCGAGAACCACATTTTCTGTAGAATTCAAAGTTTTTGTAAATGATGAGATTATGAGGGAGCATTGGTTATGGGATTGAAAGTGACATTGGTTAAGTGCTCTGCTAATCCTATATGATGCTCCTTCATCATCAAAAAGTTTTATTTTAATAATTGGCTTTTGATGATAAAACTTTCTTAATTCCGTCTCTAGGAAGCAGAATTGAAATGTTTGATCTTCAAGTACTCGGAAGTTTCATCATTTTTGGTATTTTTTTTCCTTTCGATTTTGCTGTTTTCGGCTAGAATGTGTTTTTTAAATAAATATAAGGGTTTATTTATGTTAAATCGCTGATGTGGCATGTGACGTGGGTGAAACAATGTTTTATAAATTAAAAATTATTAAATCATTGGAAAATAAAAAAAGAGAAACTAGGAATTTTGAAAAACAAAAATCAAAATTTGGGATTTGGACAGGGGATGGGGAGGAATGGGAGGGAGAAGGGGAGAGTGGGAGTTGTAGCTTTTTTACCTTTACTTGGCCCCTTTGTGTTTGAGACAGCGAGTACGGCCGACCGGCTATACTGTTTTTAAAAAAATCAAACAACAGAGTACAGCCGCCCGGCTATACTATATTTAGAAATAAAAACCCGGAGTATAACCGTGCGGCTATACTATTCATACACCTAAACCAAGGGGGCTCCACTTGGGATTAGGCTCTTTATTTTCGAATTATAAAAAAGGCAAGTACAGCCGAACGGCTATACCAACCCAAAAATAAACCGGAGTATAGCCGTGCGGTTATACTATTTATACATGTAAAAAAAGGGCCCCACTTGGGATTAGGATTTTTTTTTAAGGGAGTTTCACTAAAACACCCAAAATGGGGGTTGAAATTATAAAAAAACCCAAGCACTATTTAAACATATAAACACACAAAAAACTCATCATTACACACACTCAAAACCCATTTATAAACACACCCAAAAAGTTGACTTTGGGTGTGTTTCTATGTTTAAATAGTGCTTGGGTTTTTTTATAAATACATGTCTAGGATTGGGTTTATTTATAAATTTGTATTTTTGTAATTATAAAAAAGGCAAGTACAGCCGCACGGCTATATTAACAAAAAAATAAAAAACCGGAGTATCGCCGTTCGGCTATACTATTTATGCAAGTTAAAAAAGGCGCCCCATTGCGATTAGGCTAATTTTTTAAATTATAAATAAGGCGAGCACAGCCGCGCGGCTATACTGACAAAAAGAAAAAACCGGCGTATAGCCGTTCGGCTATACTATTTATGCGAGTAAAAAATGTGGGCCCTAGGCGTATAGCCGCACGGCGATACTAACAAAAATTGGAAAGCCGGTGTATAGCCGGTTGGCTATACCATTTGTAAGCCTAAAAAAGAGGGCCCCACTTGCGATTATTAAAGTCAGGTACCGCCGGCCGGCTATACTAAAAAAAAATTAAAAACCTGAGTATAGCTGGCCGGCTATACTATTTATACACACAAATAAGGCCCCATTTACTATTATTTTAAAAAAATTATGAAAATGCGAGTACAGCCGCTCGGCTATAATAAAAAAAAGTCAAAACCTGAGTATAGCCGTTCGGCTAGACTATTTATACACGATGAAGGGGGCCACACTTGCTGTGAGGCTTTTTATTAAAATTATAAAAAAGGTGTGTACAGCCGCGCGGCTATACAAACAAAAAAGGGGAAGTTTAGCCGGCCGGCTATACTATTTATACACGCAAATAAGGGGGCCCACTTACTATTATTTTTAAAAAATTATGAAAATGCGAGTACAGCCGTTCGGCTATAATAACAAAAAGTCAAAACCGGAGTATAGCCGTTCGGCGATAAAAGGGGGCCACACTTGCTGTGAGGCTTTTTATTAAAATTATAAAAAAGGTGTGTACAGCCGCGCGGCTATACAAACAAAAAAGGGGGAGTTTAGCCGGCCGGCTATACTATTTATACACGCAAATAAGGGGTCCCACTTACTATTATTTTTAAAAAATTATGAAAATGCGAGTACAGCCGCTCGGCTATAATAACAAAAAGTCAAAACCTGAGTATAGCCGTCCGGCTAGACTATTTATACACGAAAAAAGAGGGCCCCACTTGCTCTTAGGCTTTTTATTAAAATTATAAAAAAGGCATGTACAGCCGCGCGGCTATAAGAACAAAAAATAAAAAACTAGAGTGTAGCCGTTCGGCTATACTATTTATAGGCTTAAAATAATAATTTCTTTGTAGTATTTGACGTGATAGTTGAATTGGTCTGGCGAGTGTAGACAGAAACACATCAGACTCGGGCAATGCGGAAGGCCAAAACCGCACTCTGCTTAATCACAGCCACTGGCCTCAGCTTTCATGCCTTCAACCCCAATTTTCTATCATCTTCCTCCGATTGCTTTCCCAACTTTCCTGAGAAATTACGCGCACCAATCCATGGCGTCTATCGATCTTCTCTCGCAATCGCCACCGTCCGTTTCCTCCCCTTTCATTCTCCAATTTGTCATTTTTTTAAAATTAAAAAAAAAAATCTTCCCTTTCCATCTATCTCTCTCACTGTTAATAATATGTTCCTGAAAGTTGCAGATTGCTTTCGCTGCTGTTGACTACAAGTTCACTTTACATGGACTCTCGGTTGACTCTGATGAGTATCGTCAGAAGCTATCTGAGGTTGGTTGGTTGGTTGTTTTTCTTTTCTTTCTTACTATGAAGTATGAATCATTGAATTTCCTCAGGAACGTAAGTTTTTTTCAGAAGAAATTAGATAGATTTTGTAATTGTTTGCTTCTAGTCTGAGAACCATTATGAAGGAGCTTCAGTTGTATATCTTGTGAATATGATGATGGAATTTAGGTTCATAGAAGGTCCGCCTCGAGAATTCGGAAATTGTGTGAGGTCAATAGAGGGTTCTATGTGAAAGCTGGCCAATTTGTTGCAGCTCTGCGACAGGTTCCCAAAGAATACTCATTAACTCTTTCCTCATTGCAGGATCAGGTATGAATGAACTATGTGTTTATATCTGTTTCTTTATATTCCGTTTTGTTTTCTAGATAAGGTGTATATTCATGTAGGAGGAAATTAATTTAACTTGATGATATGGTGACTATCTCGTAACTATTGGCTTAGGCAGTTCCTTATCATTTCAAGGCTATTAAAGAGGTACTAATCCACAATCTGGGACCCGAGCTGTCAGATATGTAAGTATTTTGTCACATTGCAGTGCATGCACCAACTTGTGGGAACCCAGATAAAAATTTTGCCATTTACAAGTTTGTATAATGTGCTTTAAAAGTTATTGCATCTTCTCATTGTGTTTCATCAGTGGAACTCTATACTTGAAAGTTTTGTGACTTCGGGATCTTTTTCTAACTCGATGAACTTCCACTTTTGTCTTGTTGCTACTTCTTTTTTTCCTCTCAATTGCTGTATGAAGTATTGTCCTTGTCAAAAAAAAAAAATTGGTTGGTAGCATGTGCCTTAAAAACTTTTCCTTCTTCTTAATGTGTTTCTCCAATGGAACTCTGTACTTCAAAGTTGAAAGGGCTGTTATTTTTCTGACTTTGGCATTTACCTCAGGTTTTTGTCACTCGATGAACATCCGATAGCTGCTGCATCTATTGCTCAAGTACACCGGGGAGTTCTTAAGGGTCATCAAGAAGTAGCAATTAAGGTTGGTGAGCAGACTAAACATCTGTTTTAGTAAATTTCATTAATTTTAAGACAACTGTAATTGGTGAATAAACCAGTAACTCTTCTTTGAAACTCTTCATTTAAATTTAAGTTCATGGGGAGAATATGAAAAAAAATTGAAAGGGGTGTGCTACAGTCTCATGAGATTTCTAGATGAAACTTTTCAATTTTCAAGAAATGATAAAAGCTTGGTAAGTGGTTTGACCAAATTCCTAAACTTTTAGTTCCTGTGGACATTCCTCCTTAGAACAAGGGAATCAAATTCCCATCTTTTCAACATAGGAAATGTTTAATGTCATTTATTCAATTTAGAAATATAGAATCCAAAATGAATTTATTTTACCAATATAAGAACAGGGACTTTATGATCTTCCCTTTTTCGCATTTCCTAGACAAAACATTGCTGCAACCACCGAAGTTGAGATACAAACTATCTACTCAAGTTACAAACTAAACAAGCTTATAAAGACACACCAAAACATCAAATAACAATAACAAGGACACCAAACTCTTTCTATCTTGAAATGCTGTGTTGAATATCATAATCTTGAAAAGCACAACATGAAGGAACACACACATTTCAATTCCCTCTCTCAAGCCATGACCAATATGAGCTCGAAGTTTCCTTTGTCTCTCACTAACCATTCTAGGGGAGGTTGATTTAGAAATTTCTAGTCTACACCCTAAATTGGATGAAACACCAGGTATGTGAAGGAGTAAAACATAACCATCAGCAAGAAACATATATTCCCATAACAACATACTGTCACCCTGAACAAGCCAAAACAAAGATGAGATGGATAAAACAGTGCAACAGTAGTTCAAAATTGATTGTTAAACAGGAAATTTCTTGGTGGCAAAACAAAGATGAGGTGGATAAAAGAGTGGAACAATAATTCAAAATAGTTTTACAAAAAGAATAGTTACCTGAATTCAGGATGTCTGATAAAATTATCCATTCCTTAACTTTTTCTTATATATTAAAACAAAAGAAACGTGTTTGCTTTTCTTTTCTGTGATCCTTAATACTTTTGCATGTAATGTTTTTTTGCTTCTCAATAAACACGGATTTATGACTGCTATGGTTATTAATTAGTTTTGTCATGTGGATAATAGGTGCAGTACCCGGACCTGGAGCAGCAAATGAAAATAGATACAACAACCATGTATTTTCTTTCAAAATCCCTTGCTTGGGTATGCACTCAATCTCGGGAAGGGAGTTTCACTAAAACACCCAAAATGGGGGTTGAAATTATAAAAAAACCCAAGCACTATTTAAACATATAAACACACAAAAAACTCATCATTACACACACTCAAAACCCATTTATAAACACACCCAAAAAGTTGACTTTGGGTGTGTTTCTATGTTTAAATAGTGCTTGGGTTTTTTTATAAATACATGTCTAGGATTGGGTTTATTTATAAATTTGTATTTTTGTAATTATAAAAAAGGCAAGTACAGCCGCACGGCTATATTAACAAAAAAATAAAAAACCGGAGTATCGCCGTTCGGCTATACTATTTATGCAAGTTAAAAAAGGCGCCCCATTGCGATTAGGCTAATTTTTTAAATTATAAATAAGGCGAGCACAGCCGCGCGGCTATACTGACAAAAAGAAAAAACCGGCGTATAGCCGTTCGGCTATACTATTTATGCGAGTAAAAAATGTGGGCCCTAGGCGTATAGCCGCACGGCGATACTAACAAAAATTGGAAAGCCGGTGTATAGCCGGTTGGCTATACCATTTGTAAGCCTAAAAAAGAGGGCCCCACTTGCGATTATTAAAGTCAGGTACCGCCGGCCGGCTATACTAAAAAAAAATTAAAAACCTGAGTATAGCTGGCCGGCTATACTATTTATACACACAAATAAGGCCCCATTTACTATTATTTTAAAAAAATTATGAAAATGCGAGTACAGCCGCTCGGCTATAATAAAAAAAAGTCAAAACCTGAGTATAGCCGTTCGGCTAGACTATTTATACACGATGAAGGGGGCCACACTTGCTGTGAGGCTTTTTATTAAAATTATAAAAAAGGTGTGTACAGCCGCGCGGCTATACAAACAAAAAAGGGGAAGTTTAGCCGGCCGGCTATACTATTTATACACGCAAATAAGGGGGCCCACTTACTATTATTTTTAAAAAATTATGAAAATGCGAGTACAGCCGTTCGGCTATAATAACAAAAAGTCAAAACCGGAGTATAGCCGTTCGGCGATAAAAGGGGGCCACACTTGCTGTGAGGCTTTTTATTAAAATTATAAAAAAGGTGTGTACAGCCGCGCGGCTATACAAACAAAAAAGGGGGAGTTTAGCCGGCCGGCTATACTATTTATACACGCAAATAAGGGGTCCCACTTACTATTATTTTTAAAAAATTATGAAAATGCGAGTACAGCCGCTCGGCTATAATAACAAAAAGTCAAAACCTGAGTATAGCCGTCCGGCTAGACTATTTATACACGAAAAAAGAGGGCCCCACTTGCTCTTAGGCTTTTTATTAAAATTATAAAAAAGGCATGTACAGCCGCGCGGCTATAAGAACAAAAAATAAAAAACTAGAGTGTAGCCGTTCGGCTATACTATTTATAGGCTTAAAATAATAATTTCTTTGTAGTATTTGACGTGATAGTTGAATTGGTCTGGCGAGTGTAGACAGAAACACATCAGACTCGGGCAATGCGGAAGGCCAAAACCGCACTCTGCTTAATCACAGCCACTGGCCTCAGCTTTCATGCCTTCAACCCCAATTTTCTATCATCTTCCTCCGATTGCTTTCCCAACTTTCCTGAGAAATTACGCGCACCAATCCATGGCGTCTATCGATCTTCTCTCGCAATCGCCACCGTCCGTTTCCTCCCCTTTCATTCTCCAATTTGTCATTTTTTTAAAATTAAAAAAAAAAATCTTCCCTTTCCATCTATCTCTCTCACTGTTAATAATATGTTCCTGAAAGTTGCAGATTGCTTTCGCTGCTGTTGACTACAAGTTCACTTTACATGGACTCTCGGTTGACTCTGATGAGTATCGTCAGAAGCTATCTGAGGTTGGTTGGTTGGTTGTTTTTCTTTTCTTTCTTACTATGAAGTATGAATCATTGAATTTCCTCAGGAACGTAAGTTTTTTTCAGAAGAAATTAGATAGATTTTGTAATTGTTTGCTTCTAGTCTGAGAACCATTATGAAGGAGCTTCAGTTGTATATCTTGTGAATATGATGATGGAATTTAGGTTCATAGAAGGTCCGCCTCGAGAATTCGGAAATTGTGTGAGGTCAATAGAGGGTTCTATGTGAAAGCTGGCCAATTTGTTGCAGCTCTGCGACAGGTTCCCAAAGAATACTCATTAACTCTTTCCTCATTGCAGGATCAGGTATGAATGAACTATGTGTTTATATCTGTTTCTTTATATTCCGTTTTGTTTTCTAGATAAGGTGTATATTCATGTAGGAGGAAATTAATTTAACTTGATGATATGGTGACTATCTCGTAACTATTGGCTTAGGCAGTTCCTTATCATTTCAAGGCTATTAAAGAGGTACTAATCCACAATCTGGGACCCGAGCTGTCAGATATGTAAGTATTTTGTCACATTGCAGTGCATGCACCAACTTGTGGGAACCCAGATAAAAATTTTGCCATTTACAAGTTTGTATAATGTGCTTTAAAAGTTATTGCATCTTCTCATTGTGTTTCATCAGTGGAACTCTATACTTGAAAGTTTTGTGACTTCGGGATCTTTTTCTAACTCGATGAACTTCCACTTTTGTCTTGTTGCTACTTCTTTTTTTCCTCTCAATTGCTGTATGAAGTATTGTCCTTGTCAAAAAAAAAAAATTGGTTGGTAGCATGTGCCTTAAAAACTTTTCCTTCTTCTTAATGTGTTTCTCCAATGGAACTCTGTACTTCAAAGTTGAAAGGGCTGTTATTTTTCTGACTTTGGCATTTACCTCAGGTTTTTGTCACTCGATGAACATCCGATAGCTGCTGCATCTATTGCTCAAGTACACCGGGGAGTTCTTAAGGGTCATCAAGAAGTAGCAATTAAGGTTGGTGAGCAGACTAAACATCTGTTTTAGTAAATTTCATTAATTTTAAGACAACTGTAATTGGTGAATAAACCAGTAACTCTTCTTTGAAACTCTTCATTTAAATTTAAGTTCATGGGGAGAATATGAAAAAAAATTGAAAGGGGTGTGCTACAGTCTCATGAGATTTCTAGATGAAACTTTTCAATTTTCAAGAAATGATAAAAGCTTGGTAAGTGGTTTGACCAAATTCCTAAACTTTTAGTTCCTGTGGACATTCCTCCTTAGAACAAGGGAATCAAATTCCCATCTTTTCAACATAGGAAATGTTTAATGTCATTTATTCAATTTAGAAATATAGAATCCAAAATGAATTTATTTTACCAATATAAGAACAGGGACTTTATGATCTTCCCTTTTTCGCATTTCCTAGACAAAACATTGCTGCAACCACCGAAGTTGAGATACAAACTATCTACTCAAGTTACAAACTAAACAAGCTTATAAAGACACACCAAAACATCAAATAACAATAACAAGGACACCAAACTCTTTCTATCTTGAAATGCTGTGTTGAATATCATAATCTTGAAAAGCACAACATGAAGGAACACACACATTTCAATTCCCTCTCTCAAGCCATGACCAATATGAGCTCGAAGTTTCCTTTGTCTCTCACTAACCATTCTAGGGGAGGTTGATTTAGAAATTTCTAGTCTACACCCTAAATTGGATGAAACACCAGGTATGTGAAGGAGTAAAACATAACCATCAGCAAGAAACATATATTCCCATAACAACATACTGTCACCCTGAACAAGCCAAAACAAAGATGAGATGGATAAAACAGTGCAACAGTAGTTCAAAATTGATT